AGGCCAGTTCTCATTCCAACCCCAAAGAAAGGCAATGCCAAAGAATGTTCAAACTACCACACAATTGCACTCATCTCATATGCTAGTAAAGTAATGCTCAAAATTCTCCAAGCTAGGCTTAAATAGTATGTGGACCATGAACTTCCAGATGTTCAAGCTGGATTTAAAAAAGGCAGAGGAACCAGAGATCAAATTGCCAACATCTGCTGGATCATCAAAAAGGCAAGAGACTTCAAAAAAACATCTACTTCTGCTTTATTGACTATTCCAAAGCCTTTGACTGTGTAGATAACAACAAACAGCTGAAAATTCTTCAAGAGACGGGTATACAGACCACCTGACCTGCCTCTTGAGAAATCTGTATACAGGTCAAGAAGCAACAGTTAGAACTGGACATGGAACAACAGACTGGTTCCAAATATGAAAAGGAGTACGTCAAGGCTGTGTATTGTCACCCTGCTTGTTTAACTTATATGCAGAGTATATCATGAGAAATGCTGGACTAAATGAAGCACAAGCTAGAATCAAGACTGCAGGAGAAATATCAATAAGACCGCAGATGACACCACCATTAAGGCAGAAAGCGGAGAAGAACTAAAGAGCCTCTTGATGAAAGTGAAAGAGGAGAGTGAAAAAGCTGGCTTAAAACTCGACATTCAGAAAACTAAGATCATGGCATCCAGTCCCGTCACTTCATGACAAATAAATGGGAAAACAATGGAAACAGTGACAGACTTTATTTTGGGGGGCTCCAAAATCACTGCAGTTGGTAACTGCAGCCATGAAATTAAAAGATGCTTGCTCCTAAGAAAAATTACGACCAACCTAGACAGCATATTAAAAAAACAGAGACATTACTTTGCCGACAAAGGTCTGTCTAGTCAAAGCTATGGTTTTTCCAGTGGTCATGTATGGATGTGAGAGTTGGACTATAAAGAAAACTGAGTGCTGAAGAATTGGTGCTTTTGAATTGTGGTGTTGGAGAAGACTCAAGCGTCCCTTAGACAGCAACCAGTCCATCCTAAAGGAAATAAGTCTTGAATATTTATTGGAAGGACTGACGCTGAAGCTGTAACTCCAATTTTGGCCACCTGATGTGAAGAAATGACTCATTTGAAAAGACCCTGATGCTGGGAAAGATTGAATGAGGGAGGAGAAGGGGATGACAGAGGATGAGATGGTTGGATGGCATCTCTGACTCAATGGACATCAGTTTGAGTAAACACCAGGAGTTGGTAATGGACAGGGAAGCCTGGTATGCTGGTGTCCATGGGGTCACAAACAGCCAGACTCAATGGAGCGACTGAACTGAACTGTCCTATTGATGTACCTATTTGACAATACCACTGGCATCTCAAAATGAATATGCCCAAAACTGAGTTCCTGAAATTCTCTCTGAAACTTACTGACCCAACTCATCTTTTTTCATGGCAACTCCATCCCTCCACACTCTAAGTTGTTTATGATAATACTGTTTGAGCCTCTGGATATACCTGGGAATGAAATTACCACTCACACTTCCTGGTTACAGCAACCAATAATTACTTTCATTTGCCAGGAAAACAACTGTCTTGACTATCATATGCTAGCTATATATCTCATCATCATTTTGATCCCAGACTAGAAAACCCTCTGGAAACCCTTCTCCAACATCTCAAGACTGAGTTAGGCACCCTTCTCATGTGATGAATTAGGCACATGTGATGTCACATGATATACTTTTATATTAACAGTATGTTGTAATGTAGAATTGTCTCATTACCAATTCAATTGCAAAATACGAAGATAGAGATTACATCTGTGTTCCTCATCATGTGCTCTCTCTTGCAAAGTCTACATTACAAACCTAATAAATATTTCCAAAGTCTTGATTAATTACAAACCATATTCCCAATTCAACTCTTTAACCATATATCAATTTAAAAGTCTTTAAGGCCACAAAAACAAAACATCCAACCTAAATTTCTTCATTTAAAAATATTATCATCTTACACAACATGAAGTCTGTAGCAACATAATTTCAGGATGGAAATAATCAGAGTTTTAACCCCATCATCAAAGATCTCAGTGTCAGGTTTGTCCTCAAAACGGTACCCTCATGGTCACAAAGTAACTGCAGTCACTCCGGACATCAGGTCCAAACATGACAATATTTAGAGGAAGAAAGACACTGTTAGTATTTGTGAATCTCTCTTTAAGACTTGAGGGAGTGAGAGAACCTTTGCCAGAATTGCCTTCTAAACTATCTCTAATGTATCAATGGCCAGAGTTAGCCATCCCTAAACAAATCCTTGGTAAGGGAGACGTCTCAAGTGTTAACTACCATGTCACAACCTGGTAAGTTTGAATTGGCCCAGTCTGTCAAAATGGGTCATACTTTCCAAAACTGTAACTGGAAGTTAAGTTGCTTCCGTCCCAACTGTCAGAACCAGCATGGATGTATTTAAATAAACAGTTCAACGTATCAGGATGGAGCTCTCCTATCCCATTGTTCCATTGTCTGGTATATGAATAAATGATGTCTGTGAACGGCTTCAATTTCCAGAAAGCATAACTACTAGTGTTTTCCAATTCCAATTCTCCTGCTATTTGCTCATTTATCTCCTGGTATTTGCTGTCTCAGAATAAGAGTTGGGAGACAGGGGAACAATATTTTGTCTGCATGAAAGCCTTCTACCTGTGAGGTAAAAGATGATGGGAAAAGGACTCTGAACTATAATGTAGTTATAATGCATTTCAATTATAATGTATTCTAATAAATTTAAAACAGAAAACAAACTAGGACTTAGTCAATATATATATATTAGAGCTAGGTGAGAGAAATCTCTAGCTTTTTCTTCTGTGATGGAATAAATATCACAAACCCAATTAAACACTAAAGAGGCTGAAGGACACATACTCTTTCAACATTACTCCATAATCTCAAAGGATACAGCTAATCAAATTGATGGGACTGGGAATCCCAACAGCTTTCTTCCTTTTATCTTAATGCTCTCTCTCTCTACTTTCTCAAGTGCACTTAGAATATTTTCACAAGAACTACCAAACAGATGGCTAACAGTTATTGAGCATACACTACAAATAGAACATTGGGTCACATACCTGACTTTGGTTAATTCATAGAACCACCTGATACGAGGATGCATACTTTGATTTCACTTATGTAAATTGACACCCCGATGAGTAGAGTAGCTTGTACAATATTACCAAGTAAATGAATGAGTCAAGATAAGAACCTCTATCTGTCTGATGACATAGCCCACTAGGTAAGAGATTAAATTTCATATAATTAAAAAACTTTTATCTCATAGATAATTCTAAAAGGTTGTTGTCTCTTGCATACAAAATTCTGACAACACCTAGAGCATAAGATCCAAGTATTACACAGACATCTGAACTCTTTCAGTAACTGTTATCAATTGGGCATGATAGTTTATGTTGCAGTAATAAACAATGACAACAACAAAAGGTGTAATGTTCTCACTGGAAATAAAAAAGCACACTCTTTCTGGTGCACATGTCATTGGCTGGGGAAGTCTCATGCCCATGCCTAAACTTAAGGGAATGGAAAACTGGTCTTTTGTATGGCCAGAAGCAGCAAAGACCCAGAGGTCTGGTGAGTGTTAGTGATGTCTATGAAATCATCACTTGATGTCTGATCTCTTTGCTTCTTTGAAGGTGAATTTATAAAGGAGAAGAGCTATCTCTGCCTAGTGACATGGTATAATGAAGAATCTATTTGGTCATCTTTGCATAGTTACTTCTCTCTTTCTACATCATATACAACAGTTACAGATACAACATATAAATAAGGTCTGAAATGAGTCTTCCTGCTTATATACTCCAAAAGAAATCCTCTGTCAAAAGCCAAAAGTAGAAATCCTTAGAGAAAAATAGATATGCTAACCTAGAAGAAAATAATTTTAATGATAATGAAAGTGTTTCCTAAATAACAGAGGTAGACACCTTTATCTTTATCTCTGAATTATTCTTCAGAAAACTTTGTAAACTTTATCATTTTCAAAATTACAAAAGAAATGTGTAGCTGCTATGTCATGCTGAATAATACAGAAGCATTAAAATGTTATTAGCTTAGATTCTTTCTCCAGCTATGCTGCCCCTGGGTTAAATGTTAAATTTTTAGTATATATTCTTTGAGGCTTGACTCTGTGCTCATACCAATACAGAGAGCTTTTTCTCTTAAGAGAAATTGGTTCATACAATACCTGTTTTTCTATACAAATTTTACAAATCAAGAACATCTATTCACACTAGGATGTATTACTTTAACTCATTTATATTAATAGCTGCAAAACATTCTCTATTAAAATTGTACCTTCACTTATACAACCATTCACTTATTTTTAGATATTCAGAGTAATTCCAGGTCTTTGAAATGATAAGCAAGGGTAAAATAAACCTTTGTTTTATATATTATCACTTTATTTTTATATACTACATTCCTGAAATGCATAAGCTAAGTCGAAAGATAACGTGCATATGTTAAAATGTGGCATATTATTTTCCAAATGTTTACTGTGAGCTGGTACATCATTTATTGTTTAGCCCACCTCTATCCAGAGGCACAGAGAAAAGATAGCTGGGTTTCACCTGCATCCATATAAAATGCATGGCACCTAAAGAGTTTCTGGTAACTTTTGGTCTTACTAACCAGATGTAAATAAAAGTTATCTCAAGAAATGATGTAAGAAGGAAAAACTAGAACGGCTGATAAAAATATAAACAGCAATTAAATTAATAGGTTAATTACATTAACCATAATATATATTAGTTCTCCACCACTTCTTCTACCCTTGACCAAAAAAATAAAGTTCAAGGACCCTTAACCTCACAAGAGACATTTTCCGAGAAGGGAAATGCATTATTTCTTCAAAGTCTGATATACATCCAAACAAAAAACACAGTGGTGCTCTGTTTTTAGTTCACTTGTCAGTATGAGTCCTGTTAACCTCTAAGGTGATGCAGTAGAGGATACTCACCATTTCAGTAGGTTGGTCTGGATGATCTGCTTTCTATTTGGCTGTTCCGCATGTGACCTAAAAATATGTAAGAATACTTCAAAATAAATTCCACATTTGAAAATTGCTAAAGCATTGTATCTTTTTAAACAAACATATAAATATTAATATAACTTCAGAAATTAAGTAAAGCAAGGAGAAAATCACTCAGAATTGCACACCAAAGTGGATAGCATGTTAAAAGGATAAATTTTATTAATACTATTTAACAGTCTACACATAAAAGCAGCAATAGAAGAAAGAAGTGGGGGTTTCCCCATTTACTTTTATAGGCAATCATGATCAATGGCCAGTTACAACAGTTTATGAAAGCACTACAATAATGAGAGGTTATGGGTAAATTTCCCCTGTGTGTGGCCAGTAAGCTCTGCTTTTTTATGTGATCACAAGCTTTGCCCCAACTCCAAATGTATCTTATAATGTGATCTGAGCTCTGAAGATGTTTGAGGACTATAAACAGATAGAATGATTACAAGTCTACCACCCAAAGCAAAGAAATGATGTAATGATGGTATAAAAACCAAGCCTAACTAAAAAAAATAAAGCAGCAATATTGTTTCAATCTGATAAATATTAGAACATTAAACACGACAAAATTCCTGGCTTAAATGGTTTGAAGCTAAAAAGGAAACTTCTAAACTTTGGGATTTTCTAATATACCATGGTAAGTTAAAGTCTCAATTCAGTCCAGTTGCTCAGTCATGTTTCAGTCTTTGTGACCCCATGGACTGCAGCACATCAGGCTTCCCTGGCTATCACATGCTCCCAGATTTTGGTAAAACTTTTGTCCATCAAGTCAATGATGCCATCCAACCATCTTGTCCTCTGTCGTCCCCTTCTCCTCCTGCCTTCAATCTTTCCCAGCATCAGGGTCTTTTCCAATGAGTCAGTTCTTCCCATCAGGTGGCCAAAGTATCAGAGTTTCAGCATCAGTCCTTCCAGTGAATAGTCAGGACTGATTTCCTTTAGGATTGGCTGGTTTGATCTCCTCGCATTTCAAGGGACTCTCAAGAGTCTTCTCTTCTCCAACAAAGTTGGAAAACAGTTCAAAAACATCAATTCTTCAGCATTCAGCTTTCTTTATGGCCCAACTCTCGCATCCATACATGACTACTGGAAAAACCATAGCTTTAATTAGATGGACCTTTGTTGGCAAAGTAATGTCTCTGCTTTTTAATATGCTGTCTAGGTTGGTCATTGCTTTTCTTCCAAGGAAGAAGTATCTTTTAATTTCATGGCTGCAGTCACCATCTGCAGTGATTAAAGTCCAACCAAGCATATGTCCTTAAGCACTGTTATGAAACTACATATTGTATATTTCATTCCGAATCTTAGGTAGAGTTTCACAGAACAGGTTTTAACTTGAGGCACAAGAGACTTATCAAGAAAGAATTCCCAGCAGAAACTTATAAGGGAGCCAAGAAAGCAAGACATAGAAAGGGGAAGCAGTAAGCAAGGGTGGATTTCAGGTCAGCTCCCACAGAGGTAGCATCAAACTGACCCTGACAGGGAATTTGGGAGGGGATGTTTATCTCCAACTTGTCCTCTCTGCAGGTAAGGAAGTTAGGATTTCATGTACCCGTCAATCACTGGTTTGTAGGCTCCCAAGAGTAAGTGGCGCCAGTAACTTGAGGACGGGCCACTGGTGAGAATTTCAAGTGCATGCTATGCAATGTAAAAGCTCACAGAAGGTGGGCAAAGAGTGTAAATTGTTAGGGGGATCTGCAGGATTCTGAGTGGAGCACTGCAATTTCAAATTTCATTAGCACCATCCAGAAAAGGTCAAACCAAATACAACCTGTTCCAGTCGATCAAAGTGTGTGGGCCACCCAGTTGTGTCTGACTCTTTGCGACCTTATGGCCTACAGCCCACCAGGCTCCTCTGTCCATGGAATCCTCCAGGCAAGAATACTGGAGTGGGTAGCCATTCCCTTCTCCAGGGGATCTTCCTGAGCCAAGGATTGAACCTGGGTCCCCTGCACTGTGTACAGATTCTTTACCCCTGAGACACTTGGGAAGCCCCCATGGTACTGTTTCAAACACTCCCCAAATCTCAGCACCTTAAAATGAAAAAAGTTTATTTCTGCTCATGATAAATGTCAATTGTAGGCCAGCAGTCAGCTCTGATCATTGACTTGACTCAAGGACCTAGGTTTTGACAGGTCAGCCAACATCTTAAATGATGTCAGCCACTATCCCTGGCAGTAAGATAACTGCAGAAGAGCCTGTACTGATAAGGAAATAGTTTGATCCAGAAGTAATGTACATTACTCTTGCTCAGAATTCAGTAGACAGAACTAGTCCTATGGACCCTTCCTCACAATGACAACAGGCCTGAAAGCTATATACTATCATATGTCTAAAAGGTGAAAACTGAAAACAGTTGGCAAATTAATAACCACCACAGTGCCCAATGAAGTCAATATCTAAACCATCAATTTTAAACAAGGTAAGGCTATAATTAAGTAAAATTATAAAATTTGAAATCACCAAGTCAGGAAAGACACAGGTGGCTCAAAATGACCAAATAATTTCTTTATTATAATGAGTTAAATTCTGTTAGCCTAAAGCAATAGAATTGGAAAGTAACAGATTAGAAATCGTATTTAAATGTATTATAGAACTTTAGATAATAAAATTAAAATTTTAAATATCTGGACAAAACTCTATATTAACAGGAATAAGAAGAGCACAGAGGATCTAGAAGAAAAGGTATACATTTCTGAAGGATAAAACCAAAACTTTCAAAAATCCTTCAGGAGGTAGATAAAGGAAAAGAAAAATAGCAGAAAAAAGTTGGACTTCTGCATGGGTGAAAGTTTACCCAAATACACAATGTGATAAGACTAAACATATACATATACCTGCATAAATATGAGATTAAAATTATTTCCAGAATGGCACTGATTTTTGTTTCTTCAATTCTACACAACTTTTATGTCCAAATAAATAAAACAGTGAAGTAAAGAAAGAATTTCTAGTCAAAAGCAGTTTTCAGAACATCTATGATTAATGCCTTGTAATGCTCAAGAAAGTGTTGCCAACAAACAGGCCTTTGAAATAAAATGTTATTTCAAACCAAACTGTGGCCAGTTTGGAAATCTATACCTTAAGAGTACAATATATAGTGTAAGAGAATCTAGGAATAAATATTGGAGACTGGATTTCCAAGGCAGTATTGAAGAAAATGCCATCATTTGAATAGATAAAAATGTATTATTTTATTGAAGGATAATATGTGGAGGAGGAAAAATTTAAGTATATTTAGAAACCAAGGGTTTGTTCATCATTCAACTTATTGTCACTTAATTGACAAAACTTAGACTCTACTAAATCACGTAATATGATCTGAACTTACTACTGCATAATACCAGTCAAAATATAAATATAGAGAGAAATAAATATTCAGAGAGGATCACCAAGGTTATGCAGTCCACTCATTTTAGAATCTAGATCAATGGTTAGCAATTTTCTTGAAAGAAGGCTAACATAAATAGGGAAAAGCAAAATAACACACCTCTGCAAATTATTTTTTTTAAATATCCATTCAAAATAAATCAAGCCTCATGGGGAAAAATGCATTCTTATAACTGAGATTATTTACTAAAAAAGTAACATCAGTCAGAATACTAGCATGGGTATTTTGCCACTAAAATATTTATCATGGAAATACTGAGATAATCCACTCATTTCTCACCTCTTACATTATATACTGTTCAGAGTTCAGTAGTTGAATCAGCAAATATTTACCAAGCATTTTTTATTGGTCAGTGTGTTACTGTATCTTAATTTATCTTGTCCTAGAAACATCCCATTGAGATCAGTATCATTCTCTCCTTTCAAAAACAAAGTTATGTGCCTCTATTAAAATAGTGAATTAATTTTTAAGCTTGGATCAGGAATAACCTCAATATAAAGCAATAAGTACCTAGCTCCTTTCATGTGCCAGGAATTCCACTAGCAGGTCCTGGGGTGGTGGAGATGAGTGAGAAATGGTCTCTCTCTCTTCCACCCCCAACCCCAACCTGGGCCTTTATTACTCCTGGCTCTAAGACTTCTTTGCTAAAGCTGGTATGGTAACTAGGAACCTTTTACTCAGAAGCAACAAGTGCCATCCGTTTCCAAGAAGGATCAGGGGCATGTGAACTGAACTGATGTTTTATTATAAAATGGTTTAAGTTGAAGTTTTAGAGCCATTTATAGACCTGACATTGCACCTCACTTCTAACATTCTAAAATCTCTCTTTGCGCCAGCTGGCTCATCAAAGGGTGGCGTGACCGGATCATACAATATAGCTACTCCTCTGCCATCAAAATGATTTTTTATTGTATTATACCATGACAAGGTGACGTGCTGTGCTTAATCGCTCAGTTGTGTCTGACTCTTTGCAACCCATGGACTGCAACCTGCCAGGCTCCTCTGCCCATGGGGATTCTCCAGGCAAGAATACTAGAGTGAGTTGCCATCCCTCTTCTAGGGGATCCTCCCAACCCAGGGATTGAACCAGGGTCTCCTGCACTGCAGGCAGATTCTTTACCAGCTGAGCTACCAGGGAAGCCCAAAGTGAAAGTGTTAGTCGCTCAGTTGTATCTGACTTTTTGCAAAATGTAGTCTGCCAGGTCCCTCTGTCCATAAAATTTTCCAGGCAAGAATACTGGAATCGGTAAGGATCTTCCCAACCCAGGAATCAAAACCTGGTCTCCCACATTCCAGCTAGATTCTTTACCATCTGAGCCACTAGGGAAGGCCCTGACAAGGTCACACCTCCCAATATTTAGGGATTTTACACAAAACAGGCCTATGATACACCTTACTCTGTGATAAATAGGTTTTCAATTTTTCTTCCTTACAATATACAAATATATAAAATTTTGCTACTTGATCTTGGTTCCATGAATAGTAAATATGCTTCTTCAAAGCAATTCATTTCCTTTTACACTAGAGACAGAGATCACATTTCTATTTTCTGATTGGTTTCTAGAAACCTTGGAGTCAAATTTGTGATCTATCTCTAACA